TGCTGTATGTGTGTGTGAGCGTTGTGCATCGATGACACCCATCGACGCGAGCAGCGCGCCCCAAGAACAAAAGCTGGAGCGGCGGCTTTGGGAATAAGGAGTCATCTGTTTGCCCAGTTAATACCTCGTTTACATATTTAATCTTCGTTTATGCCGACAAATACTCTCTGTTTACAAAAATAAACTCGACACACCTGAAGAGCCGAGCCCTCCGCGCCCCCCGCCCCCCTCTCCGAACTTACCTTAGTCATTCATTCATTCCTTCTCTCACAACCCTGAGTCCTTTGCCCTTCGTCCTGTCACTTGGATTTTAAGTCTACATCTCATGGTGACAGTACCAGGTACCTGTTTCAATTTCTTAATCCGTTCCTCGTTGTGGGATACTGAGACTGAATCGTGTATTCAGTAATGTAGGAGAATTCTGCCTTGCCGTGGAAGAACGACGTGTGGGTCTCCAGACGTTACCGAATTTCCTTTGATAAAGTACGAAATTCAAACAACACTTGTGAATAAATTCTTCTTCCAATTCTCCGAAGAATTTTAGTTGCAATTCCGCCTGCGATCTTCGAAAATTTCAAGGAAACATACTCATAGATTTTCTAAAGAATAAATGAAAAAATGATTATTTTATAAATTTTATGATTATTTTGTTAGTATATTTCTAAATGAATTTATCAGAAAAAATTTGGCAACGCCCGGGGGCTCATAGGGTATTCTTTTAGTTTTGGAGCCCTTAATACAGAAAGCAACTACAATTAGAAACTTCCGCGAGTTTTGATTATTTGAACTATTAAAAACCTTGGTGTGAATTGATTCAGTTATATATTCGTGAAATAAAAAAATAGAAAAATTACAACTAACTGCCTTAGCGATAAAAAACATTAGACAGAATCTAAGTTTTGCCCAGGGATTTATAAGAAAGATCGCGCTTATTCCAGCTCTTCCTTAATAATGCACATTCGAAGACGAAACGCGTGCAATTCCTCACCGATAACTTCAAAAAAGGAAAACCGAAGACGATCACGAATGGACAGAGATACCCAGGATAAATCGTCTGCTAGCGTCTCGGGTGCAAATTGATACTCATGAGCAAATCAGCATTCAAAACGACCACGAAATTCAACGCATCGCTATACTGGCGCACTGCGCAGTTGTGCCAGTCCAAGCTGAAAAGCGCAAGTTTTCGAACCGATTTCTAAGGAAGGTAAACAAGAATCTATCAAAGTATGGCAGCACTGAAAGCAAGATTTGCGCGACTCACGCACCTGTAACCCCCGGCTGATTTGAATGAAGTTGACAGACGAATCATCCGCACATTTAGATGCTCGCCACGTCACAGCAGCGAATTGCTCACGATTATCGACTCTTGACTCAACGCTTGAACTTAAGATTTAGCTCCTTTTTCAGGATAGGTTTTTTCTCCAAAAATATCTCCCGCGTTCATGCAACAATGATTGCTGTCCGACGACCATCCGTCGCAGATATACTCGAGTAAAAAAGAACATGAAGGGCTGAACGACCCTCTGACTGCAAGAAATGGTCCTCAAAATCTAATGGCCGGCACTGGATTTCTACCATGTTAACTCTGGTGAATCTACTGTATTTCCTGGTAATCATATGCAAACAGAAAATCCGGTAGCCACTGAAGCATTGTTTTCTCTGTGTAAGGCTACTTTTACATAATTTAATTACGACAATATTATCATTAAGAAGGTACGAATCAATACTCATTGATGAGTATTCAGCCGTTTATTCATGCACGTGGCAGATAAGCTAATGTCACACGATCAAACCGTGCTATCAATAAATCAAGGTCTCAAATGCTGTGATTGGTCCAAGTCATTGAATTAGCCAATTACAACACCTGATCTTGATACGCATTGATAGTACCGTTTGATGGTGTGACATTACTGAAACCGAGGGTATGGTCATTCTTGACTTGATCTTGAACAGCTAACCAATAGGGACGCCGAGCAAGGCATTCACAGTTCCACCTTCATTTCTCGTTTCAAACCAGACAAACAGCTGTAATAAGCTGCAATAAGCTATGACGAGTTCGGACTTCGAGGAAGACCCAGGATGCATCTATTCTGGCTCTGACAATGCGCGTGTTGCATACACGTGCATTTGAGGGCGATTGTGGATGAAATGAATGGATCGGGCTACTACTTCCAATCGGGACTGAGGAGTTTCTACATGCAAAGTTGATGGATCATTGATGAATCTGACGAGACGACGTCACGCGATTTGGCAAGTTTGGCGAGAAGCGGCAGGTGACGGCGGCGCACGTCCTGAAAGTTGGCGCGTGGCCTCCGCGAAGCGTGCCGTCACGTCACATCGCGAACTCTGCAAAACGCCGCGCCGCAGCAGAAGATATATTGGTCGGGATCTTCACGATGTTTGAAAGGGAATTGAGCTTAACCGAGTTGGCAACTAACAGGTAGCTGGTGTCAATGTGGTCCGCACTGGCCAATATACTTTCTGAGGACTGACCGAGATATTGAACCCTGGTGCACGAAGATATGGATGATCCAAGCATGGAACCACGTTCCTTCGGCAAAGCTAAGTGCTGGGAACGAGAATTTCCGACGAAATTCTTGATAACTCTCGGACAGACGCTATATTTTGTGACCATGAGCGTTTTTAGGGAACTTTCTACTCTTCTCTCACAAATTGTTGAGATTTCGTCAATCTGAGCTTTCGATGGTGAGAGAATGACAAGCCAATAGCTTTGGACTGCAGATCTCAATGTACAATATGCTTGCGCAAAATTTTTGATGATCGAAGCAAAGCATTTTCAGTGTGCGCTCAGAATTCCGCAAACTGTCCACTGGAAAAGAAAAAAAAAAAAACAAAAAAAAAAACCCATACACATTGGATCTAGAGTCCAGACTCTTAAAAACATCGACAAGAAAAAACACTCTGGATTCGATCAGATTCAAGCTTAAATAAAGAACCAAGCCTCTTAATTTGAGCGGATTTCCTTTCGATTTAAGCTTAAATCTGATTGAATCAAGCGTCCTTTTTCTTGTCAATGTTTTCAAGAGTCTGGACTCTAGATCCAATGTGTTTTTTTTTTTTTTTTTCCAGTGTCTAAAAACAAGCTTCCAGCGATGACAAAGTAGCGAACCGTGCGGTTCAACGTCATAAATATCGGTGAGCCCCCGACTTAAAGCGCATCATGAGAGGTGTGAGTGGCGCACGTGTTCTCCGCGTCTTGGACGCATGCTTTTGTGCTTTCAAGAATGCCCGAGCCGGCGCGGCGCTGCACGGGGATGGGGGGGGGGAGCAGGGACCGTGCGCAGGGCGCGGGATTGGCGGACAATACCCGTTCGGCGGGGCGTCCCCATCCCCCATCCCTCATACCCCATCCCTTTCAAACTGATTGGGTTATCGAATTCTAAGTACGCGTACGCCCTTACCGGTTTGCAAGACGCTCCTACATCCAACGCGCACACGACATTATTGTGGTGGGCGCCGTTGCAAAATTATGCAGTTCTATTCGAGTAATTTGGGACTGAAAGCGGCTTAAGAGTTTGGGTGCTACATCACAGTGGAGGAAATTTTATCAAAATTTACAGACGGATTCTCGGACGACGCATCGGGTGTCGACTAAAATAGGTTGGCCAAAAATCAGTACTTTTGCAGTGCTTTTTCAGTACATTCCCAAGAAATTCAGTACCATCTTAACAGAAAAATTCAGTACTTCTTTAGTTCCTCCAATAGATAAAATTCGAAGAATGTAAAAAATTTGAATTTCTCGCTTAAAATGCGACTAAAATGACAAAGAATGTGCGGAATTTCCGCACTATTTCCGTACTTCCGAACCGCCCTTAACATATCAGTACTATTACCGGATTTGTAGACACCCTGACTGAGAGAAGTTTCAGAATCCTNGGGGGGGGGGGGGGGGGGCTGGATATTGGAAGTATCGTCAAGAAAAATAAGGAGGGATTTCCGCAAAAATCGGCAGCCTGGGTGCAAGGTAAGATGGGCTCGAGTCGGGCGTAGCGCTCGTCGAAGGGATTCCTCAGCACAAAAACCCGGATGGACCTCCTCTTCCCTCGAGGGCTTTCATTCATGCGCTCCTTTGCATCGCGCCGGACCCCGCTCCGTCCCCTGACCCGCCCACGTGACCCTGTCAAATTTAGATCCTGAACCTGGCTCCTCAAACCGATGCGCGTTTTTATCAAAATATTGCGCTATCGATTTGTCACTTTATTGCTTCCGCCGCGGCGGATTCCACCTGCATCTCCTCAGCGGCAGTTGGACTGCATTTTGCAATTTGGAACTATAAATTCTGGCTCTTATGTGCATAGAGAAACTAATGAAACATACGTTGTTTTTAAACCGGGCTAGAATTTATAGTTCCAAATTGAATAATGTATTCCAGTTCATCATCCAGAGATGATTCGCACGTCTCCAGCCAGTGGCGTGGCGTGATTTGCGATACATCGATTGATCCGTCATTAAAACGCACGGGAAAGAATCGATATACAGGGTGTTCGCAACGAACACTTGAATAATCGATTCTTTACCATAGCTTCAAATGGGGAAATATCGATAATCGATCATTCACGCCTCGCCACTGCTCCAAGCTTACAGTTGCTCATTCACTTTGGCACCATTAGGTATCCTACGGAAAATCTTCTGGAATTCTGTCGTGTTCAGGAAAAACACCGTATAAGCATTCGAATGTTGCCAAATTTTTTCTTGGAAAATATTTATAAATGAAGAATAACTTATGAATACTTTTCCTTGCAATAATTTAGACTTTCAAGATCAAATTACGAACGAAATCCTCTGAAAAGTCGGAGGAAAAATACTTTTGACTTTCCCTGAAGATTTGTGATTTGTTGAAGGAAATTTGGCAACGTCTGGTGTCTCATACGGCGTTCTTACTTAGCAAGGCATCATTAATCGCAAATTTTATATAAAACAATTTGAGAAATGGTATACTAGTAAAGATTATTTTAAAATGATGAAAGGGTGCTTCTTACCTTTTTCAATATTCAGTCGAATTTGCTCCTTTTCCCATGACGCAAAGGAGGCTTTTAAGGCATCGGACATTTTTTTATTCGTCCCCGGTGTGAGAGGTGGCACTTGAGTGGGAATATCTGAAACAAATATGGAAAAGGCAAACGTTGAGTTTCACATTCGACAAGACGTAGATTACATATTTTTTATATTGATGTACGCTTCAGTAAATGTTCTTTTTTCAACTGCTTCTGCTCTTTCTCTTCAAACACTCACACTGGGGGAAAAAATAGTTCTGATCTAGAGTACAGAATCTTAAAAACATCGACAAGAAACGAAACTCTTGATTTAATCAGATCTTTGCTTGAATTGAGAGCCAAGTCTCTTGTTTCAAGTGGATTTCCTTTTGATTCAAGAAAAAATTCAATTGAACCAAGAAAATTTGTTTTATCAATGTATTTAAGAGTCTGGAGAGTTGGAAAAAGCGCACAGTGCCCTTCGAACAACTCATTCCCGTAGTTTCTGCTTATTTTTGCTTTTCCTTTCATTTCATTCCTTGGTATTTCCTCGTATCAATGATAATCCGCCTTCTTTCGGGTGATATCGTTGCAACCGCTACTAAAAAATTAAAATGTCAACGACTTGTGACAAGAAGAGAGTTTAACCACAAGAGAAAAATAGAAATGGTTTGATGACTCTTAGTGTCAGTCACAGAGTCGCTGAGTGTACAGAGCACTTATTCTGAATCAGATATGTGCGGTGGCATTGCTGAGGGCACGGAACAAGATTGAGTGGAGACCTCTGGCCTATAGTGGGTGACCAGCGGGCAAAGGTCACAGCCAGTGAGTGGTCACTGCGGGCAGTGATTAAAGGGGCCGAGAACGACTCTTAATAGACTTTGCATCACTCTCGAGAAGTGGGGAATTAAAACTAAGGGCCGAATTGAGACCGAGAGAGGCCCCTGCTCCTCGCCCTCGATCCCTCGACCGCCCCCATAAGATCCCGACTTAACGCACGCGGACGCAGGGATCTGCTCGAAAAGGCGTTGCCAGGCAAACTTTTCACGCAAAAAAAAGGCTTTACGATATCATTTCCAAAAGTGAAACAAAGTTCGTAAAACTGTTAATTTAAATTTAAAGGAGGAACCAACAAATGAGTCTCAAAGGCGGATACGGACCCTTCGATCGATGTGATNGGGGGGGGGGGGGGGGGGTTTAAGCAGAAGAAGACCGGGAAGAAGTCCTTCAGAAAATTGTCGAAATTTCGAAGCATCCAATAAAACACAATTTTAAGCATCTAATATCGTTGTGAATAAATGCAAAATATAAGCGTCCTTATTTCTTTCTTTCTTTCCCTTCTCCCGCCTCCTTTTTTTCGAGCAAAAAGGAGGGGTGCACCCCCTACGCCCCCTTCCCCTTAGAGCTGCCTGTGTCTTGTCAACCGCCAAGTTTAAAGTTTTCGTTCAGTTTTCATGCTGTACTACAGGTTAACCGAAGCATCCACATAGTTGTAAAATGTGGTAGAAAATTAAAGGAATTAACTAGGTTACTTTTACTGCAAATGAAAAACCTATGGAAATAATAACGAGAGGCAATTTACATGATGTTCAGAGTGAAACTCTAAATGACCCAGGAAGTTTGAAAACATTTTACATTCATATTTCCATAAGTCTTCCATAAGACTTGAAAAAAAATTGAGTTTCAAACATTTACAAGTAAGATGTTGGTTACATTTTCTGCTACTATAATAAAACTAGAAAATAAATTTTTCACTGTGAAATACTGTTGGACTGGTTAGGGTAAAGTTCTCAACTTATCAAAATTTTTCTCACGCATTTTCAGAATCTCTTGAGTCTTAAATTCAATTTCTAGATACTTGTTTCCTTACCCTTTTGACAAACTTAATTTTAAATTTTTCAACGCCCCAACTTCATAACGTGGCAACGGTTGAATGAGATAGCGAGACCTAGTCAGCTAGTAGGAAGAGATGATCCAGCTAACTAACTCGCTCAACAGAACTTGGACCGAAAGAGCGCGCTGTTGACGATGCAGGCGCGAGACCAGCGTTGCCAACAGAGAGAGAAAAAAAGCAACACTAAATTGAGTGAAGAAATAAGGTGAACCGAAGGGATTTCGACCGAGGTTGGCAACCCTTGGTGCGACCACGGGACAGGGGAGGGAGAGGAGGCGCTGAGTTTATCTACCGGACCGAACCGGACCGGATATGATGATTGTGGCAAGACGAAGAGGGTAATTGTTCAATAATACATCACTTTAGTCTCGACATGAAATTAATAGCTAGCACTCATTTCATTTTCAGAGCTTTCGCGCGCACGGCACAGCTTCGGGGCTCCAACTGCCATGTGTTCGTCCCTTTCGCGCGAATAGTATATACTCGGTTATTGAGCGCTCGAGCTGTAGGAAGCATCTATTTGACATTTCCCTGATTTCCGTGACACATTTTGGTGAAATGCCTTGACAATTGAACACAAATGTCAGATCGTTAAAAAGACATGGTTAGAAATAGTTTTTAGGAAAAATTTATTGTTCAAAGCGTCAAACCCAATGAAATGAAGGTGGTTTGACGATTTTTCCCTGACATTTTCGTCATTTTTCTTGACATTTTAAGGATTCCTCTGGCTTTTTGAATTCCCTGACATTTCCCAGTACCCAGTATTCCCTGACTGGGGTTACCCTTGCGCACTAAACAATTAATTTGGTACTGCACCCTTCCACCCTACAAGTGAATCGCGAAGCTCGGGGATTGCTGGTAGGAACGCCCGAAGACTGAACGTATTTACATTCGAAGAAAACCCGTCGTAAGAAGTAAACTATGAAGGAGGAGAATTGGTTCCAGATTAACTGGAAAAATGATTGCACTGAAGGTTGAAGATAAAAAAGAAGAATATGAAGCTATCCAACAATGTCATTCATTGCTTATCACGAGTGTTGGCTCATGACATATTATGAGACTGATTATGGTAGCAGTTTTTATTCAAAGCAAAACCATCCTTAGAAACCAACTCGCATCTGAGTTTCAATTGTGAGGCGCGATCGATGTGGGTATGGAATAAGCCAAGGAAAACAGGGTCCGAGGGTCCTCCTGACTCATTTTTAAAAAATCCTCAAGCGCTAGACGTAAACTTTGACAATAAATTTTACGGCCTGAAAAATCGAGGATTATCAGAGAATTGTTTTAGCACCAGCAAAATCCTTGAAAAAAGCTGTGGGTCTGAATTCAGTCCCTTATGAGTTTGCTTTCAATTTTCAGTGTAGGCAACCCGAGTTCCCACGTGGCCGAATAGTGGTATCATTCTCAGATGTCACAATTGCTCGAGTAAGAAGGCAGGCAAATTCCACACCGTGCAGCGGTGACTTTACCTCGTATTTTTTTCATTTTTCACGAGATATTTTGCCACTTATCGCTTTAAAATCGCTGCGAGGAAAAATTTATATTCCTATGTACAAATGAATAAAATGCACTGGAAAAAAACACATTGGATCTAGAGTCCAGACTCTTGAAAACATTGACAAGAAAAATACTCTTGATTCAATCAGATTTTTGCTTAAATCGAAAGGAAATCCGCTCAAATTTTTCTTGACGATGTTTTTAAGAGTCTGGACTCTGGATCCCGTGTGTTTTTTCCAGTGTAAGAAGTAAAAAGGAGTGCTTCGTAGCTCCCTATAATTTAATTAATTAGTAAAAAGTAGCTTTTAGCATACATCTTTAGGTCTTTTGCAGTTTTCCAGGCAAGTTTAAGGAAACATTTGCGCAGAACAAAATTAGCTCTCGTTAGTACGCTTGAACTAAGTCGTTGTGAGGTAATTATCAATTGTCTTGGAGGGGCAGCGCATGTGTTGCTCACGAGAGGGCTGTCGCGGTGACGACAGTCGGCGAGGAGGTTTCCTTAGCTAATTCCAACGACTCTTACGAGAAGCAGAGAGGGGGCGGCATGTCAGCTGTTGAATGCCGATGGCTCCGAGGGGACCACGGCCAGGTGGCGCGCAGAGCCAACGCAACCGAGCCGAGAAACTAACTACGAGCGAAAATACACACATAACTCTTCCGAGACGCTGGAGCTGAAAGATTGGTGATTACTAATTATCGATTCGATCCAGATTTGTTGACTTTACACCCAAATTGGTTACTGAAAACAGAATGCGGAACTATAAAGGGTCGGCTTGAGGGATGCTCAAATCTCGATAATGCGATTGGTCGCGCCTATCACTTTCGATTAAGTGCGATTCGCGTTCCGCTGATCACGAACAAAAGTAGGTGAAAATTATTGCTACCCTGTTTAGTGGCAAAAGCGCCGCGTGGATAAACAATCTGTTGGGGATTCCCTCATGACGAGTTGAGCATATACGGCTCGATCATACTGCTCGCCTCGCAAGTTGCTTGGAGGAATGTTGCGCCTACACGGGCGGAACTGGGAACTTTTTATCGAAGGAGAGGATAAGGGGGCACCTCATCAAGGGGGGTCTGGGGTACTAAAAGATCTGAGGGATGCTCCAGTACTCTTCACAAACAGAATAAGGTTTCTCTGGCGCTACTTCTTAAAACACGCTTGATTGTAAATTATGAGGAACTCATCTTTGAATCGATTTTTTTTTACTGAAGGGTGGCAGCACATCAAATCGTTTCAAATTTGCCAAGGGCAGTTCATTTTTGCGTGGATTAGTCTCTATTATTTCCCCAAAAAATTCGCTATGTCAGTTATCTGCCCACGTAGAATTCAACTGCACTCGGAAATTTTGAAAAATTGCAATTCACTTGCGCCTCTGTGTAAAAAACCGTCTCAGTTAAGTTATCGAGTACCTCCTGGTGACACGGAGCCTCGCTCACACGAGTGGTAGCTCGGCGCGATCCGGTGTATGGGTTCACGCAGTGGCGATTCTTGAAAGTTTGCAACGGCGTTTTTCCTCCAATTAAATGCATGTAAAACAATCGATTCTTGGAGAGGCAGCTTGTCTCGAGACGGTGTTGCCAACTTTCAAAATCGCCACTGTGATCACGACCTCACTTGGCGATTCGCAACGTCAACTGCCGCGTCGTCGCTTGACCGATGTGAGCCGCGCTTTGTTCCCCGTTTCGCGAACGTGGAGCACCCGGCTTTCATCCGCGGCGCGCCGTCCACCGA